CAAGTATGTCTCAAGATGCTTCTATCGTCTCTCGTATTAGGGATCCCTTGTAAATGGTAAGCGTCAAAGTGGCGGGCGATTGCGAAAAGCATGACTCAAAAAGTACCTTCTTGAATAGATTGGGATCGTCCCCACGTAACCGTATTTACCGAACTCTGCTCGGATTCGCAACGAAACCGGGAACCGGTTGTTTAAGGTAAATATCCTTTGCTCGAGTAATTAAATTAAATGTCTATTTGTCGTGCAGAGAACAACATTCCTCAGACAGTAAGGTAGAGGCAAACAAGAGAGAATCGGAAAAAGTTAAGGAATCTTATATATATATATGTGTGTGTATATATATATATATATATATAAACGTGTGTTCGTGTGTGTGCTTGTGTGTGTATATATATATACACTTCGTAAGGTAAAAAATTAAGAAACCGGAGCGAGACCATCGCTCGCGATCGTTGATAATGATCGTTCTCACCGGTTATAGAGTTCAACGTCGAGCTTCTCTGCTTCGGCTCGTCGAACTCCAGGTTCAACGGTGTCACGTCCTGGCCGGCTTTGTCCGTGCTGAACTCCAGGATTCCATGACCGCTCGGTTTGTCGCTGGAAGTAAATACGATACGAGTGAACGCTGACGTTTGATTACACGTTGATTCTTCTAATCGAGAATATTCAGGAAACAGATGATTTTTATTTAGAGCTACTCCGAAACAGAAATAAGATTTAACCAGTTAACTGTGGAATTTAGTTGAAAAAACCTCTCGTTCTGCGTGCAATAAAATAAAAAAATGGAGCGTGTATTCATCGAACGCAGGACGAATGCACGTAGAGTATATTTTAATGAAAGATCAAAGCGAAACAAAGAAGAATTACATGTTTATCTGAGAAAATAAAGAATTCATCGCTGAAAGAATTAGTATCATGTCAAGCTTTACGATGACGTGTATACTCGTCAAATAGTTAACTGGTTAAGGGTATCTACTACAATTTATGTTTCCTTCGAAAGGAACTGAGGCTTGATTAACACTAGAACTACCGGAGAGGTCAAAATTAATCATTTCTGATTGCTTCTTTAACAATTATTAAAAACATAACAGATCATTTTCTGAGAAATTACTATAGAAGTTGATTCAGCAATAGGCAAACTGAATTGTAAATCAATAGAAATCTCAGTAGTAGCACTGTTGGAGTTTCCATAGAACATTTCAAAAAGTCAGTTTGACTCTTCGGTAGTTCTAGTGTTAAACGCTGACTGTTCTAATCAAGAGTATTAACGAAACAAGTAATTTTCATTTAGAGCTACTCCTAAACAAGACTAAGATTTAAGGGTATCTACTAGAATTTTATATTTCCTTTTAAAGTAATTGACGTTCGTTTAAACATCGACTCTTCTACTTGAGAATATTAACGAAACTAAATTTTCATTTAGAACTACCCCTAAACGGGATTAAGGTCTAAGGGTATCTACTAGAATTTTTATTTCCTTTTAAAGTAACTGACGTTCGCTTAAATGCTCCCTTCCCCATTGAGAATATTAAGGAAACAAATAAGTTTCATTTAGAATTACCCCTAAATAGGACTAAGGTGCAAAAGGTTCTTTACTACAATCTATATTCCCTTCCAAAGGAATCGACGTTCGATTAAACGCTGACTCTTCTAATCGAGAATATTAACGAATCAAATAATTTTTATATAAAACTACCCCTAAATGGGACGAAGATCTAGAAGTATCCACTCACTATTCTTCCTGTTCACCCTGCAGGGAGTCTTGTCGATCGGTGGGGATAAGATTGGTGCCGGGACCTCCCCCGAGTCCTCGGCGGTATCTTGGTGGACGGAAAGCGAATCTCCTAGCGTCGACTTCGACGTCCGTTGGAGTGCTGACAGGAAATTTTGCAGACATCGGGTCCACGCCAGCTTGTTCCTCCTAAAAATGAAAATGAATCAGTGTAAGTAACGGAACGTTTCGCTCGCGATGTATTTTAGATTTCAATGCGGTCAAGTCTCGAATGGAAGATCGATGGACGTACGTCTCGAAGATTAAAAGTGATCTCGAGATTCTGGCTGAAGTGGTTCGAGAATTCCGGATAAAGGGCCAGAACGTCCAACAGATCGTCCCTGTGTATCTTGTGCAGATCACAGTAGGTCAGAGCGCGCACGTTGCACGACGATTTGCCGACGGTCGGATAGATGCAAGGATTCTCGCCGAATATGTCGTCCTTGCCCAGGATCGCCATCATCAGGTCGCCCTTTAATATCTCTATGCTGCCGCGCGATATGAAGTACAGGGACGTGAGCACGTCACCGCGATGAACCAACGTGTCGCCTGGCGGTGCGTGGGTGGTTTTAAACTTTAAAGATAACGCCCTGGCCGCAACAAAGGAAAACATTATCGTTCAAACATTAAGTCGATTGAATTCGAATTGCTAGATTGCGGATTTTCATGCGTTTATCGGCCACTTGAAAATACAAAGTTCTTTTACTTTCTGTTTCCTGTTCCTTGTGCTGTCTTTATAATTCAATTATTAAAGATAACTGATCATTGTTATTAAATTAATCATTGTTTGAAACGTCTTGTATGCATTACAGAGGTTTTAATTTGAAAAAGGTACTGCACGCTTAAATTTTAAAAATAAGCCCTGGTCGCAACAAAGGAAAACACGATCGAAAACAGTATCGACTGAATGCGGATTACTAGATTGTGAATTTTCATGCGTTTATCACTCATTCGAAAATACAAAGTTGTTTTACTTTCTGTTTCCTGTTCCTTGTGCTGTCTTTATAATTCAATTATCAAAAATAACTGATCATTGTTGTTAAATTATTCATTGCTTGATACGTCTTGTATGCTTTGCGAGTGTTTGAATTTGAAAAGGTTACTGCTTGTTTACGAAAGATGTACAGCCAGTAATGCGTTAACTACCTTAAACAACCTTGGCTGGCGCCCTCGAACGCTCTACAGTTGTTTAAAAGATTTCTATTCAGATGAAGACAAATGTCCGCCTGAAGGCACTCGGGGAATCCTTTCAGAACACTGTTCATGTCGATCCCGTTCGTGTAGGTCCAAGCGTGCTGGAAATACTCTTCCAGCCGCTGACGGAGCGGATTCGGGATCTGGTGGAACCGTATGAACTCGCGGACCCGGAGCATCTGCGTGTGATATCTCGCCGTGCCGCTGTAAAGCCTCTGAATGATCGCCGAGACGTTACCGAAGATGCTGGCGTACATCAGAGCTGCAAAGGACACCGTATTTTCATCGAGATACATCCAGGAGGCAAGCGGATCGATTAACACGTCGACTGCCACGGAAATCTTCAATCTTTCATATAATATTTATTCTTTTGTAAACGAGTACAAATGGGAGCGATTATTAATTCATTGATATTGCCATTCTTACATTGTACTGTTACCTAATTAGTCACACTATTAAATGTTCGATATATCTTGCTTTGAGCAATGTATTATTAATAACCGAATTTCAAAATAATTTTAATACATTAATCTGGTTAAATATTTTCATTCGACATCAACCATATTTTATTAGGTACTGAAAAAAGTTGTGCTTAAATCAAAATCTAAACACAAACGTTCGTATAAAATTATTTTATTCGATGACAACGACAAAGTAGCTGCTAATACCAATTCCACTCATTAAACTATTGAAATACTAATTGAAATCGAAGCTCAATTCATTATTAACAAGAAATCTGAATCTTTCCGGTACCTAATATATAGCAATTGTTTGCTATTCGGTAGCTCTAGTTATTAGAAACGCCAGTCAACGTGTCAATTAACACTTTGACTGCCACGGTCACCGACCGGAGCTTTCAAATTGCAAGAAAATATTCGTAAGATAATTGATTTCGAATACAAATTTTCCGTAACGTAAACAACTAGATAACAGGATAATGTAAGAATTCTCATATCAAAGAATGAATAATTCTTGCTTTGTATCTTTTCTATAGAAAGGATAAATGATACGTAAAATGATGTTTCTCGCGGTTATTAGTCAACGCGTTAAAATCGTCTTCTACTCACATCCGATCAGCATAACGACTATCGTGAAGATCTTCTCGGCGTCCGTGTTCGGCGCTACGTTTCCAAAGCCCACCGACGTTAAACTACTAAAGGTGAAGTACAGTGCTGTGATATAGCGGCTCTGGAAACCGAACGAACGAACAAACGGATTAGACGTAGGAGAGGCCAATGGCGGCGCACAGCCTCTGGACTCGCACGCGAAACGAAACGGCATCGATTCGCGCTGCGCGACAGCGTGACATCACGCCACAGCTGTTGAGAAACGAGGCTGGCATTTCGCCGGAAGTCGTGTCGGGTATTCTGTTCACCTTTATACTCGGCCCTCCGGTGTTGTTGTGAAAATAAAACTGATGCGTGTCGTTCGCCAGAATGTCGAGCCAGCCGACTTTACTCTTCAACATTGGCCTTTCCGCGTTCCCTATAGCGTACCTGGGAAACAGAACGATCGCCTTAACGAGTATCCAAGCTCACCGGTTCCTCGATCGTCTGGTCTAGTTGTCAACTAAAAGCTATCAATTTCCCTCGGTTACATCCGTTACTCCGAAGACAGAGATGTTAAACTTTTGCTCAACCTTCGAGGGACCGAATGGTTTCGATTAACAAATATTAACAGATTAACCCTTTGCATTCGAGTTTTTTTTCTAGAAATATTCAACTCTCTTTGATGAAATATAGACGATGTTCGTCGCGATTAATGTAAATAATTTAATCGATAAATTAAGGGACAAAAATATTTTACTCTGATATTTCGCGTAGCGACAAAGTTCAGTATTAAACATCAAACTTTATAATTTTATTTTGTCAAACCAAGTGGTGATAGAGTCACCTCTCGAGTGTAAAGGGTTAACATCACTATCAAGTAAACTTGAAGGTTTAATCCTTTGCACTCGGAAATCTTTCGTTGGAACGAATTGAATGAGAAAACGTACATACGTGAAGAAACAAAGTTATTTCAATATTCCACATATTTATGGATTACACGAAGCTTGATATTATGTGTAAGACTTTATAATTTGGTATATCAAGTTAAATGATAACCGAGAGTCACCTCTAGAGTGCAAAGGGTTAACATTAATCGAATATCCTAGAATCAACCCTTCGCGTTAAAATCGTTCGCCAAGTTTATTCTCAGCTGATGCTCATTGAATTGTTCTCGTTCCGATATCTCATATCGAAGAAATTGTTCGCAGTTATTTAGAGTCCAGACAGTCCGCGAAGAATGCATAAGGGGGAATGGCAAGCAACTTACCATACGCACGCCAGCCAGTGAGCAAAAAGAGCGAACGTGGCCATCAAAAGGAGCAATACCGCAGCTCCATACTCGCTGTACCTGTCGATTTTCCTAGCTACTCTGACGAGTCGCAGAAGACGTGCCGTCTTCAAGAGTCCTATCAAGGTGGTCGTCTGCAAAGAACACGTCACTTTGTCGATCTCAAGCTCGCCCGTACGAGTTCTCTCGTTCAGTTACTCGAGTTTCTCATCGAAGATAAAGAGAACTGACTTTGGCCAACGGTCCGACGCATTCGACGCCCGCCGGAATCTTGATTAAAAATCGAACGCCACGAGCGCATGCTTAACCGGTTCAAGCATTTTCAAAGTACATATTTCACGGACCTTCGAACGCAAAGGCTCACGCGCTCTCAAGACTTCCCAAGGATCGCGACGACGCGCTGAAAGATGCACCGCCGGTCGCGCGACCTTCTTAAATCATTCAACGCGTCCCCGTTGCAGCCGGGATCTTCAAACGGAAAACATTAAAACGAATAGAGACGTTTCTTCTGGAATAACCAAAGTCAGCTCCGCGGATCGAGTTATCGTTGTAATCGTAGGTCTTACGAGGAGGGTCTACTATGCGACTGTCGTTCCCGCGTTCGATCGATCGGCTCGTCGCCGGTCACTTTTAGGTCAGCCAGGAGCCGTCGTGTAATATTCCATGCATGAGATTCTCAGGAATATCGTGTCCCGCCGTTAAGGCCAGACGCGTGTTCCCGGAATAAGCAAATCGTTCCTCCATTATTCAACGATCGTGGGACAGGTCCGGCGAACGACAGTCGCGCCCGGGAAATCTCGGGCTGCGCGTCTGCTCGTGAGCAGACACGTTCCGCCTCGACTCGCGAGAACCTTGTTTCACCGTTCCGGTTACCTTGGCTTCGATTCGCCGCGACTCTCTACGTTTCTTTCTTTTACTATGCATTGTCTGTCGATCACGTTTGCGCCGATTATCCACGAGCTACAAGCACACAGGGCTAAGCGGAAGACGAATCGCGATGATCGGTTTAATAATTGTAGCAACACCGACGTATCGGTTTCATTCCTGTTATTGCTAACGGAGGAAGGTATCGAACTCGGAAATTTAAGAAATTATGAAATCTTGCGTGTAATTTAATACATTGGAAATTTTTTCCTGACGAATTTCACTTTAAAGGGATGAAACTACCCCTTGGAAAAAGTAAATTTTTCTTTCTCGCGGATCACTTTGACAGCAGTAAGAGATAGCGAAAATTAAATAAAAATACATTCTTTCACGTATATAGAACTGCGAAATGAAATTTGTGAAAGGTTCAAATTTTCCAAATTTTGGTGTATGAAAATTGGTAGGTGTTAGGCTTGACTTGCTCTACTTATACACAAAGTTTCATATTTTTTTGAATTTTCGGGTTCGATAGCTTTCCTCCTAAGTCGCGAAACTAAGAACACAATAAAACAAAATACAACAAAGCGAGATATAACGATAGAGAATCGACATAGACGTCAATTTCTTATTTATATCTCACTTTGTCACATTCTGTTTCACTCGAGTTCTTCGTTACGAGACTCGGCCAATGATGAAAATGAGTCGAAACCGGGGCGTCAACGTTGCTACGAAACCGATCATCGCAAGTGGACGTCTTCCTCTTGCCCCTGCACGTTTAGCTCGTTGGTGCTCGGCACAAACGCGATCGGTGGACAATACAAACATTTCCCGCGATGCAAAGGAAACATCTATGGCGGAGTACTTACTGATCCACCGGGTTCGAATCGCATCTAATTAGTAACAAGCGATCAAAGTGTACACGCTAAAGTGAACTCGCGTTCTTCGCGTAGACGAAATCTACAGTTAAAGAGACGATGAATCATCGAGTCTCTGTTCTCGTCGATGGAAATCCAACTCACGAGCAGTCGATCAACGCTCCGCGGCTCGTCGGTGGCCCAGCGGGCCGCGGAGCGTTCGTAATCATTGCAAGTGACGTCGTCTAAGTACAAAAGAAAACCGTCGGGAACGTTTCTTCGAGACGGAGGCGGGTTACTCATGCTTCCCTCCAACATCTTACCTGTCGGTGGACTCGAGATTCGATTAGCGGTCTTCGATTCGAAGCCCGAGCTTCCGAAAACACCGTTGGAAACGCGCGTCGCTCGGGGCCGAACGACGCGATTTCGGTACCGATACTATCATGCAATGAGTCGTCTACGCTCCAATCAAACTGAACCATTCGTCTAATTGGTTGCTAAACGATAGTCTCGGAATTGATACTTGCGCAGGGGCTGCTTGGAGATTGTTCACCAACACTCGTTCGGGAGAAATGATCTCTATTGATTCTCAGTTTTAGAAATGATCTCCGATGCAGTAAAATTTGATAACAATCTGTACCTTCGGATCGCTAGACTTTAAAGTCACTTTAAAAAATAATTTCTTATACCACAGAGCTTTCCAGTTACAATAACACAATCTTAAGCAGAAATTGATCTAAGTAATTGTCTAATTTAACACGTTCGCTACCAGTGTCGCATATTTGTGACGCTTGTAATACTATATTTTATATGAAGAAAATGAAATTAGTCCTATAGATATTATTTAAAGCTACAAGCCACGGTATTATATTTAAAATCTCGGTCACTCGTTTTAATTTCATGTTTTAAATATTTCGTTAACCTCTCGAAAGACGTGGCGCGTCGAGGCGTTTCCGTTCTAAAATTGCCAATGACGTATTATACACATCGATAGTCTCGTTCCATTACACATAACAGATTGTTCCGAAATGTACCACTCTATACAAAATGATTAACAAAACAAGATTAGCGTACACATTCACGTAAAGCAGATAAACACAAAATTCCTCGCACGAAACTCTGCAAGATCTCTGAATTCATTCCCAGCGCGAGAGGTTAGGATTCGTCGGATCGAATAAAATATTGCAATTGAGAAGGTCGTTATCGAAACAAACGCTGGCAGCGAACGTGTTAAACGCGGGGAGACTCCACCGCGATCTCGGTGTTTCCTCCATTTCGCTCGAATGATCGCGATGCATCAAGATTCACAAACGATCCATTTACCGGAGATGAGCAGAGAATCGGCCGTCTTTTATCCCGACCTCGGATTGCCAAGAATATCCGAGGACGTTTGATAGCCGCGGCTGATAGGCGAGCGCGAAGCGTTATGGCGGCGTACACGCGAGACACCGTGCACATCTCCTCGCGAAATCTCCGGAACGGCGATTGCTCCGTCTTATTGCCCGGGCTTGATGATATCTCGGAAAGGCTGGAATGGCTTCGAACGTCGCGGATGTTTCGCGATAAGTCGGATAACTGCTGACTTGTTTATTCCGGAACGCTATCTCCCCGGAATTTAATGCGCCCGATGGCCCTCGACGGATCGATACGCGGGATATTTGAATAGGCAATGAGATACTCGACGGTTTGGATGTTTAATTGGCTCTCGCACGCGCTCGCGATTGAATGAACGAGTGTTCGATTAACGTAATTCACGGGGAAAACGACTTCGCGGTTACGTTCACTTCGTTACCAGCATTTCTTTCAATCGCAGTCGAGGTTAGAGTATTTCCTTAACACGTTGACCGCCATGGTGGTCATATGTGACCGCAAATTGTTCCTTCTCTAGCGCTATGATGGTCATCGGTGACCGGGGTTTCAAAACAACGAGAAAATAATTGTAGCTTGTAAGATGACTAATGTTGAATACAAAGATTGGGTTGTCAAATAATTGATAATACTTCCTTTTTATTTTTGAGTGGCGTTCTGAGTAAAACAGGTGATTTCGGCGTGGTCAACGTGTTAAATGAAACGTAGAGATAGTAATTAAGAAATAAACTTCTACGACTTCCTGTATATTATACGATGAGTTAGGATATTAGAGCAAAACACGAGTGAGTGTAATTTAATCTTCTCTGCGTAAAATATGGAACATTGATCGTCGCAAATACGCGACGCTGGTAGAGATCGTGTTGACGCTCGGATCTTTGATGCATCGGCGACCACTGTAAACTGTGCAATTATATTCTGTAAGAATTAGAGTGACGAGTGTGTATTAAGGAAGCTTCCCAAGCAACCCGTGCCGTTTTGTAGACAAAAAAACACATTACACGTGGGTGGAAAGAAGACGAAGCATTCAAGCGACAGAAAAAACACGCATGGTCACTCAATATAGTGTACAACAAAAATGTCCAGATATACACATGTCTAGTAATATATATGTATAATAGTTTATATGTAGGTATAAGATACATGATGTATGTACGCAACAAGGATGAGAGAGCGAGAGATAGAGACAGAGACAGAGAGACAAAGAGAGCGATAGATAGAGACAGATCGTATATCGGTTTGTATAGATATATATATATATAGAGAGAGAGAGAGAGAAAGAGTAGTTTGGAAGCACAAATATTACAAAACGCATCGCAACACACGTTAGATGCACAAGAGCGAGCCAGTGTTGTAGCTCGAATGAATCAACGCACGCAAAACTGATTACTGATTCAGGCCGGGCTTGTACGGTTTTATACAGCTTGCAACAGAAGCGTAACACAATAAACAGGTACCAAAAAGGAAGCTCTCGGCACAAATGTAAAAGAAAAACAGAACCAACGGACTCGCCTTAGTAGAGTCCGCACACAGATGAAGAGACAGAGAAGAAGATGAAAGTTAGAGAGACAGATTGAGAGAGATATAGACAGAGAGTTAGAGAGAGAGAGA